TTTAATTTTTGTTTCATTTTAGTACCCGTTCAAAATTGAACATTAAATTTTGAATTTTGTTTTGAAAGTTTAGGTACTAAAGCATACCGAAATTGGTTGTTTATTTAAGTTTTTGATAGCAGGGTTCTAAAATGAAATAAAAACTAAATATTAGGTTTAATTTTGAAAAATTAAAAATTGAAGTACTAAAACAAAATAAAACCGATAGTTTAAGTACTAAATGTATAGATTACACTAATATTTAATACATTGACTTATCATTTAAGAACCATCCATCCAATTCAATATAAGAGTAAACTTATCAACGGTGGTGGGTGTGAAGAAGAAAATCATTTTATTTAAAATGGTACACTTTTTAAAAATAAAAACTAGTTAGTGTACTAAGGTTGATAAAACTTTTAAGTTTTTCTCACTCTTAACTGTTTTTCATTGATCAGAATTAATAGCTAACAATCATCGGTGACCCTTTGAAGGTTAATTGTTCATTCATTTCGTTTCTTCATATTCTTTTCTCATACTTTTTTCATTTTCTTTTCTTTTTCAGTTTAAGGTTTTATTTTACAAATTTATTTTGTAGGTCTAAATTTTTATTTTATTTTATTTAATAAAAATTTCCTATTTCTCATAAAAATAACATGTTTTTGTAGTTATGGTAGTATTTTTCAAAATTGAATTTATCGACACCTCTTAAGTTAGTTTAGTTATTTTAGTCACTTGAGTTGATTCTTTCATATTGACCGGTGCTCGCAATTTGAGCCGACCAATTCCCATGGAAACTACTAGTGAATTATTGGGGTTTGTGAAGAGTAAAAATCGAAGAAACCAGATGATCTTTGATAGGGAATATGTTGTTGAAGGAACCATCATACGGCAGAGCCTGAGGCTATGCCAGGAAGCGATGAACGCACGAGAATGGAGCGAAAGTCGACCAGCAACTGCTAATAGAACTGCCAGTTGGAAAGCACCACTGGTTTGCTGGATAAAATTAAAGGGGTGTTCAAAATACTCGAACTGATTGACTCGACCTGTCGATCTACCGACTCGAACTTAAAAAAATCAGGAATTCTCTAAAAAAAATTACTTGAACGAGCTGGGTACCTGATCCGTGATTTTCCAGGGTAATTGGGTCGGGTCTGGGTCAATTTTTTTTATAATCAGGCACCAGACCCGACCAAGTAGTTTTAGTATATATATTTTAGTTTAAATTAAATTTAAATCCTTAAATTTTTCTTAGGTTTGCATCATGTACTTTTAAGTTTTGAATTTTTCAAATTTTTTTATTAATTTGTCATCATGGGATTTGAAAGAAAAAATTACGATCGGTTTTAATATTTTTAATGTTTTCTTTTTAGAAATAAACTTTATATATATCCTTAAAATTAACTTCAAATCACTATTTTTGTGTATGGATTGTATATTATGAACATTTAAATTTTTATGTATTTCCCGTGTGATTTTTTAAATTAAATTAAAAAATAAAAATATATATAAACTAAGTACCCATGACTCAAAAATACGATACCTACATTTTACAGATACCCAACTACTAAGTAGTCGGACTTAACGGGTTAGGTCACGGGCTGACAAATGTACTACCCGCAGAATCGGATACTGATACTTTGGGTACCTGATTTTGAACATCTCTTCTAGACACCGATGGAGCTCGACAAACCACAAACTGATTTAACTGCCTGCGATGGCACATTTCGTGAGTACCAGAGCAAATGGGTCTTGGGTTTTACAAAGGTTATCGGACGATGCTCAGGCCTTGATGCGGAACTATAACATATTTTAGAAGGACAATGCATAACGCGGGAGATGAATTTGAGAATGATTTTGATAAAAAAGAATAGCAAGGCAGCCTTTTCTGCAATCGATCGGGGACCAGGATCAAGTGAGGCATCATCAATCTTATGTAAAGAGAGTGGCAGCTACAATTCCAGTATGCTCCTAGAGAATACAACACAGTGGCAGATGGTATGACAAAGTTAGCATGGAGTCGCTCTTTACCGGCCCACATATTCGAGGAACCACCCATGGAGGTTCGTGACGTAGTCCACACGGAAGCTACGGGGGACAGCTAGTAGAGCTTAGTTTTTTTCTCTTAGTATTCAACAAAAAATAATTTCTAACTAATAAAATTTAATTGAATATTATCAATTATAATTTTTTTAGTACATAGGATAGGAAAGGCTGTAGAATAGCCTACATTCTTAAGATATTTCTTCCTTCAGCATCTGTTCGAAGAAGCGACAGAATCTTCTCCGGTGGTTCTGTAAGTATCTCCGGTGGTTCTGTAAGTATCTGTAATCTCTCCTCCCTCTCCAGAGCTAGATTCGCAAGTCGATCGACGCATCTGTTTCCTACAGGCCAGGTATGTCTGGTTTCGGTTATCCACCCTTCTTGGCAGGGTTGTTTACAATCTCTAATGAGAGTTTCTTGGTCTTCTTCAACAGAATTTCTGTTCAGCTCCTCCTCGATGCCTTTTACATCGAGTTCAACAATAATTTTGCTCGCTGGATTTCCCAAACCTTGTCTGAGAGCCCAAATCTTCACCAAATAGCTGTTGGATTTCCCAATTTGCATTAAGAAGCTGCCTTTCCAGTCGTCGCTAATGTCCCAGATAAGACCGCCTGCTGTTGCATTTCCGGTGGTTCCCATACAGGCGCCATCAGTGTTTATAATTTAAATTAATATTTAATATTACTTTATTTAAATATAAATTAAAAGTTTAAAATTAATTTAATATAAATTAAAGATATACCTAATTTGTAATAAAAATATTAAAAAGATAATTATTAGAATTTAAACTGTACGTCTTGTATTTATTATCTCTCTTGAAGAAAAGACTGCCATTTATAGGGCTTTTGACTTTTGACTTTGAATTTAAAGATTGCCGAAATTTTGAAGGGGCCACCGACATTATCAAATTAATTCCTGAACGAACCTCCCCCAACTTCTATCTGTATTTTTTTTTGGAATATTAAAAATAAAAATATTTAAAATTATAATAAAGATTTATAAATATAATTGTAAACCTAAAATATAATTATAATATTTTTCTATTGTCATTGAGATAAAAATTAGCCACCTAGATGACATAAGGACCAAAGAAAGAAATGTTAAAAACCTAACAAAAAATCGAATAAAATAAATATACGAACAAATATGATTGCATCAGTAAATGGACCACAAAAGGAGATAAAATTACTGAAATACTATCAATAAATCGTAAATCAGAGTCAAGTGATGTGAGTAAACTATCTACGAATGCAAAACGCGTATTCAAATCAATCTGATGGTCCAAAGCAGGGAAAATCATCATGATAACAAATAAAAACCATTTTGATAAGTCGTGGAGATATCGAATCCAACCCTAAGAAAAAAGATAAACAAAAAGCAACGATAAAAAATCGTAAATAACGACAAAAAAATCAGCTACCAAAAAGTAGATAAAAACATATCACAAAGACAGAGATAAACATGTCAAAAAGATAGAGAACATGTAATAAAGATATAATTATTCTTATTAAAAAAATAAAAAAAATAAAGAAAAAAGACAACCGATGGACGATAACCAACATTAAAATCGATATCACCGTCGGTTAAATAAAATAAAAGAAGAAAAAATTGGATTGATCAATAAAGTTGACACAAATTATAAAAAGGAAAAAGAGATAGAAAATGACTAGACTTTTTAATCACTTCTATCTGTATTTTAACAATTCATTAAATTCGATTAATTTAAATAACATAACTACATTTAAATTAATATCAATTTAATACAAAAATAAAATGTTAATGAAACTTTTTTTGTTTAATTTAATTTTAATACATATATATATATATATATATATATATATATATATAATTTTTTATATTTGATGATTGTAGTGAATAGAACTCGATTCGAAAAATTAATTCAACTTGAATTTCATACATTCGACTCACTCATATCGAATTTTTTTAAATAAAATTTAAATAAAAAAATATGACTTGTCAAGTTGATTAATTCAAAATTAATTAACTCAATTAACTTGACTAACTCAAATATTCCCTCCTAATTCTTCTTTTATTTTAAGCCTATATTTAACCAAAATTATACACATGCTACTCTAACATTGTAATATATATATATATATATATATATATATATATAAACATCAATTCCTATTTTCAACACTAAATTTATTTTTTATAATTTAATTCCTTAATTTTATATTTTATTGAATTTGAGTTTTACTGTTTTTTATTTTTGTAAATTTTTTCAATCATTTTTATATCTTTTATATTCTCATTAATATTTTAAAAAATATTTTTTAAAACAAAAATATAAATATATTTTACAATTTTAGATGACATTTAATTTATTAAATGACATCATAATATGAAAAATATGTATATATTTTATATGATTAGAGAAAATTGTTAAAATGAATCAATTCACACCATAATATTATATAAAACATTATGATTAAATTTTAATGCAAAATTAAAATATTTATTTTGACTCAATTCGACTCGATTTGAACTTCTTTTAAATAAATTTAAATTCTAAAATAAGATTCTTCAACTCTAACTCAAATTTTTTACTTAACTTGGTGAAATATTATAAATGGGCTAAGCTTTAAACATTGTTTTTTATTTTAAAATAATCATAAAACAAAATAATTAGTTAAGATTATTTTTGAAGGAAAATAATTAGTTAAGATTATTTTCCATTCTTGTAAGGGCATAATTTATTTTGGTAAATGTTGATTAAAAATGGAACGAAAACTCCATAAGCAACATTAATAGAACGCAAGACTCTTAATCTTATAATCGTATGATCGAATTTCATAATAGACAATTCATAATTATTAAAGATCTTTACAAAAATTACTCTCAACCTAACGTAATTACATCCTACTATCCTAACTCCTTTTCCCTATTACAAGAATAGGGTCATCTAATTTTACTGTTTAGATTTTTTTTCCATTTTGTCACAGCCTAATTCTCTTTCTCATCTCCCTTTTTTTTCATCTTCTCACTTGTTTTTCTTCCGTTGTATCATCAACTTCTCTTTTTCCCCTTTCTTTTTCTCTCCAAGAAGCCAAAGCAGGTTGCTTTTGATCTAACATGGAGAAAAGCCATGAACTTAAGCTGACCCAGATGAGGAAATTAGTTGAGAAACTTGGGTTTTCAGCAGAGGTACATAATTAGCTAATCACTGCCCATTTGTGAATGAAATGGTAATATTTATATACTTCGGTTCAGTGTTTTTTGACCCCCCTTTTTTGTTTTAGAGATATGGGGATCCCACGCTCATGAGGTTCTTGATCGCAAGATCAATGGATACTGATAAAGCTTCGAAGATTTTTGTCCAGTGGCTGAAATGGAGGTCGTCTTTAGTTCCTAATGGGTTCATTGCAGAATCTGAAGTGCCTGATCAATTAGAAGCTAGAAAGATTTATTTGCAAGGTCTTTCGAAAGCAGGATATCCAGTCATGATTATCCAAGCTTGCAAGCATTATCCACCCAAGGACCATGTGCAGTTCAAGAGTAATTAGTTAACCTAATCTCATTGATTTCACTGTTCTTTGTCATGATTGATCAATTTTGCTTATATTTTACTGTACTTTTTTCCTAGTTGGAAAGGAAAAAATTGCCCATAATTCATACCCAAGGTACAATCAAGGATGGAGACTCAGTGAGCAGGGTGGTGGGGTAGTCACCCCTAATTGTTTTAAATTAGCATATACGCTAGATTTTTTTTTGTGATTTCTATTGATAATTTATATTTGTCCCTAAAATTTTAAAATTTTATCACTTAACATCAAATCTTGCATCTGTACCTAGATAAAAATACGATCAACCTTGCCTGAATTAAGGTGGGACATGATGGGGAAGCCACATACATCTGGGGTCTAAAAACTTTTTTAATCTTGTTCATTGTTTATTTATTTTTATAATTTGGCCGTTCATAAATGTCACTGTTTAATCTGTGGTGCTTTAAAGTATTTTTTTATATTTGCTCTGAACTTCATGAATTATTATTAAATTAGGAGATACTACACTTAAGTGTATGATTTTGTTCTTTTGTTGCAAGCAAGTTTCCTTTTTATCTTGCAAAATTTACTCTTTTACATGTTTTGTGTATCTCTTGATGCAGAGTTCGTGGTTTATCTGCTAGACAAAACCATAGCAAGGTATTCGTCTGATAGTAAAGAAAAACCAAAACAAAGGAATTTGTTTTGAGATACAAGATCCAAAGACTCATGTTTACACATATTTTATACTGTTTAGCTGCTTTTATTATTATTTTTTCGACTCACTGAGTTGTGTCAATTTCAGTGGCGTGAAAGGAAGAGAAATCGGAAACGAGAAGTTGATAGGCGTTCTTGATTTTCAAAACATTACATACAAAAATGTCGATGCACGTTCACTGATAACTGGATTTCAGTTCTTACAGGTAATGTATGCTTTTCTGAAACATGTTCAAAAGAACATTGCTTTATGTGGCTTACATGAGAGACACAGAACCAGGGTAAGGCTTGGTAAACATTAAAAGAGAACAGCTTGTCGAGTTTTGGCTGAAGGCAATGGCAATCTATGTAATTGTTTTAATAGTTTTGTTGTTTACCCCTGTCATTCCTCAGTTAATATTACATATCCTTAAGAAATGCATAAACAATCTGAGTTTAGACTCCATGGAAATTTATTTTACTTCCATAGGTTTAACTTATGTTACTTGAACTCGTGTGTATGTGTGGGATATGTGTATTTTTCTGACTAGGATATGTGTATTTGAGTCGGAAGATCATGGCTCTGTACCATGTTTGAAAATGCTCCTGATACGCTTGTTCGACTGGTAACCTTCACTGCATTTTTCTTCGCTTCTTCGTTGGTGCTAATCTTCACTTAATGCAGGCATATTTCCCTGAGCGCTTGGCAAAGTGCTACATCGTGAACATGCCGCGGTTTTTCGTTAGTGTTTGGAGGATGGTTTCTAGCTTCATTGAGAAAGCAACACTCCAAAAGGTACTCTCTATTGTATCGTCTTTAGGGGATCCAGAACATAGCTTAAGTGGTTCATGCATTCATTTTAAATGCTTGCATTTAGCATGTATGGGATTTGAATCCTGACATTCACAATCCTTTTAAACTGAATCTTACTTTGATTGATTCATGTCGAGCTACGGTTTTGTTTGTTCATAATACTCTTTTAATGTTAATAGTAGAAACATAATGTTAAATGCAATAGTTTGACAACACAGTGAATGCTGATAGTACTCTTTAGGGAGTTCAGAACATAGCTTTAGTGGTTCATACATTCATTTTCAATGCTTGCATCGAGCAGGTATGGGATTTGAATCCCAATATTCGTGTCGAGCTACGGTTTCATTTCTTCATAGTACTCTTTGAGTGTTCATAGTAAAAACATTATGTTAAATGCACTAGTCTGACAACACAGTGATTACAGATTGCAATTCTGACCAATGAAGATGAGAAGAAAACCTTCATAGAGGAGATAGGTGAAGAAGTTATGCCGGTCGAGTATGGTGGCAAGGCGAACCTGAGAGCTATCCAAGATGTAGAAGTTCCCCCGTTGGAAGGTTGATCGATCCTCCGACACCAAAATTTACAGGCCATAAAGTGTTTGCTTTTAACTCAAACCCATTGAAGATTTCAACACGATCGAGATTAGTTAACTCTGTGGCTGCCATTGAAGGTGCTAATAAGCTTAAACCTTCAACCGGTCAAGGTTGCTGTCATTAATGCACCTCTAATCCGATTATATTGTGTGTTAAGCTTAGGACCTTTCTTTGAAGGAAAAATCATGTCATTCAACTAATTACCTTATCCCATATATAATATCACATTATATTTCCTTTTTTTTTATTAATATCATATTATATTTCAATCTGCCAGAAGGTTGATGTTTTCTTGTTTGTTCTACTTTATTTTTATAGAGTAAAACCTTCTTGGCATCTTAAGGCGTAGGGTTCATCTTTTCTGCCAAAATTTGAACTTTGTTGTATCTTCTTTAACACTTTCTTCATAAGTTATATTTTCGTAGTCATTTCTCCGTCTATCAAATTTCGAAGTCCTAAATTTTATATCCTTTAACTATTTATAATCCCTTGATAGGATTACTAGCAGACTCGTGTAATCTACCAACTAATTTTATTAAATGACAACCAAATTATCTTGTCAACTTCATAATCTACCAACTAAGTTTACTATTTGACAACCAAATTATCTTGTCTACTTATAAATAGTAATCGTAACTCTAATCCTAACACCAACATTAAGATCATATATATATATATCATCATCATCATCTAAGGTTAGAGAAAGGAGGAGTCTCTATCAATCGATATGTCTCGACTCTTTATTAAATATCTTCTTCAAGTCGCCTATTTTTTCTTTTCCCTTGCCTGAACAATTATTTGTGACTCTTTGTCCAAATAAAAATAGATAAATCGTCAAAAATCACCACAATCTCATGTCTCTTATTAATAAACATCATAAGTGATATTTGATTTCAAAGTTTAACTCCACTGGTACACTAATGAAAAAAAACACTCTATTAGTTGATTTAATTTTTTTAGTTTAAATTTTAACATTTGCTAGAAATAAATATGAAATCCTTTTAAATAAAAGATGTTACTATTAGATTAAAAATATTAACAGTTATTTTAAAATTTTAACTGAATACAATTAATCAAATAAAGATTAAAAAACTAATTTTAAACCTGATTGAATTATATATTACATTTTTATTGTATTTTTAAATATATATAAAAGAATCTATATAATATATAATCAATTATCTCTAGTTTAATAAAAAAAAAATCTGTAGTTATATATGAAAAAGAAAAAAATCTAATAAATCAATTTCGAAACTTTAAGGGTTGTTTCATTTTAGAAAATATTTTGTTTTTTGTTTTTATTTTCATAAATAATTTTTATTTTTCAATTTTTTTAAAATTAAAAAATATGTTTGGTTAATATAAATGAAAATTTCTATTCAGAAATAAAAATAGTTAAAATATATTTAACATCTATTTTTTTTAAAATAGAGATGCATAAATAATTATTAAATAATTCTATTAAAATATAATTATTAAAAATATTCATTACATAAATTTAATAGGTGAGTTATGCAAATATAAAACAATAAAATTGATAAGAAATTTATAATAAAAAATATTTTAGTTTATAATAAGAATATAATGTTGATGCATATTGTACATCAATTAAATTAAGAAAATACACAAAAAATATTGGTGTAAACAATAGCACATAAAAGTGTCTTTAAAATAAAAAAAATATGTTTATTGGTATTTGTAGACACCCGTTTTTGTCCGGGTCTACAAAAACATTTATTTATTTTTATTATTATTAGTATTATTACTTATTATTAATTAATTATTATTATTACATTTGTGCAGGCTGACACAATTCAGTAGCCCAACAAATTAAACCTAGCAGCACTTAACCCACGTATCTCAACCGTTCCTATTCGCGGGGAGTTGGTTGTGCACTCACCTCACGTCTTTTGTGGGAGGGTGAGGGAGAGATGGACACTTCCTATTTTTAGTAGCTGCTGGGGTTATATAATTGGTTGGATATAGCAACAAAGAGGGGGACCTGCGCAAAGGAAAAACGGAGGGGGGAGGTGAAACAAAGTTAATATCTTGTATCACCTCTTAACCTCCATCACTCTTTTTTTCCTTCAAAACCAAACATTCAAAGAACAAGAAAGCCACCACCGTCCCTACGAACACGTTACTCTCTCCTTTTTTCCATTAAAAAAGGAGAGTGAATAAAGATGGAGATGGTTAAGTGTTTTATGATTGTTTTGCTTCTGGGTTTCTACCACTTGTCCACGGTAGCAACATCGGGGAGGGAGAGGAGCTGAGACAACTGACTGACTCTTAGGCTTGGATACATGCATGGATCAAAAGCAGACCCTGCAAGGCACAAGCTTGTCGTGGTGAAAGTTTAGATACTGAGCAAGGCACCAACGAGTCCTACCATTCAAAAGATCGTAAAATAGCTGGTGGATGAATTTATGCTTTCCAAATTATGTATCAAGCTTCTGTGGGTGCGTCGATGCTCACTGATTTAGTATTTTGGATCATTCTTTTTCCATGTCTGAGGTCCATACCGTACGGTGTGGATTTGGTAAGTAAGCCGACACTGCAAACTCGAATTTCAACTTCACGGAGAAGGATATTGGACTCGAAACAGCACAACTTACATTGGATTTCAACTTCACGACGAAGGATATCCAACTCCAAGGTTCAACTTCACTACGAAGGGACCATTTATTATTTCAACTTCACGACGAATGGAATCATGCTCACTAGCAACATTAACCTTTAGATTGGATTTCAACTTCACGACGAAGGATATCCAATTTCAGGCTCAACTTCACGACTAAGGGGCCTCCACAATTTCAACTTCACGACGAAGGATATCATGTTCATTTGCAACATAGCTCAAGGCAAGAAGGGTTATTTGTCAACCAAAGACCTTCGAGTACTACTACGCTCAGCTCCAAGCACATCATTTGCATCATAGCTCAAGGCAAAAAAGCTCAATGACAGCGAGGGACTACTTTCTAGAAGAATTTAAAGTCAAAATCTTTAAACTGAGAAGAAGACAAAGGCCTAGTTCCAGGAAGCCCAATCACATTTGAGAGAACCAGACAAAAATTGATTGTCTTTTTTCTTCTTTGCCCTATTCTTGTTAACACAAAAATGTGCAAAGAGGGGCAGCTGTAGACACCCGTTTTTGTCCGGGTCTACAAAAACATTTATTTATTTTTATTATTAGAATTATTATTAATATTATTATTATTATTAATTAATTATTATTATTACATTTGTGCAAGCTGACACAATTCAGTAGCCCAACAAATTAAACCCAGCAACACTTACCCCACGTATCTCAACCGTTCCTATTTGCGGGGAGTTGGTTGTGCACTCACCTCACGTCTTTTGTGGGAGGGTGAGGGAGAGATGGACACTTCCTATTTTTAGTGGCTGCTGGGGTTATATAATTGATTGGATATAGCAACAAAAAGGGGGACCTGCGCAAAGGAAAAACGGAGGGGGAGGAGGTGAAACAAAGTTAATATCCTGTATCACCTCTTAACCTCCATCACTCTTTTTTTTCCCTTCAAACATAAACATTCAAAGAACAAGACAGCCACCACCGTCCCTACGAACACGTTACTCTCTCCTTTTTTCCATTAAAAAAGGAGAGTGAATAAAGATGGAGATGGTTAAGTGTTTTATGATTGTTTTGCTTCTGGGTTTCTACCACTTGTCCACGGCAGCAACATCGAGGAGGGAGAGGAGCTGAGACAACTGACTGACTCTTAGGCTTGGATACATGCATGGATCAAAAGCAGACCCTGCAAGGCACAAGCTTGTCGTGGTGAAAGTTTAGATACTGAGCAAGGCACCAACGAGTCCTATCATTCAAAAGACCGCAAAATAGCTGGTGGATGAATTTATGCCTTCCAAATTATGTATCAAGCTTCTGTGGGTGCGTCGATGCTCACTGATTTAGTATTTTGGATCATTCTTTTTCCATGTCTGAGGTCCATACCGTACGGTGTGGATTTGGTAAGTAAGTCGACACTGCAAACTTGAATTTTATTCGGAACTTGTATTGTTGTGCATATGATTGAAACAATTTTAACTGAAAATGCTTATTGTTTGTGTGCACTCTGTCAATGATGTTTTCCTAATCTGTGACACATTTTTGAATGGCTTGCGGTTCCCCTTTTTCGAATTGTATTTTTTTTATGGACCAACATCTTCGTTTTAATCCAGTGGTCATGCTAGATTCATTGCTCAACTTGAGAATTTACATGGAACCATGCAACCCCATGCAACTTACATCATATTTTTTATTATTTTTAATTATTTTTCTTTTTTTATTAACTTTTTTTTATTGTTTTGTTATTTATTTTATTTATCATTATTATATTAATATTTTTTCGTATTTATTTTTTATTTTATAATCTAAACGATATTTTTGACTTTTTTGAGATATTTTCATTCGATCAAAGATAAGTAACTTGAATCGGGTTTTTAAATTTCAAATTAAATTTCAAATTTTCACAATTAAAGACAACCGACAAATCAATTGGTACCGAAAGGGCGGTTCAATGGGTGCTAATCCTTCCTTGACTGTAACCGACTCCCAAACCCAACACATTTATGGTACAACGCAGATCAGGTAAGATGGTGTCCGATCCACCTAAATGCTTTTAAAATGATCGGTGGCGACTCTAACTCATTATTTCAAGTCGAAGCCTAATTCCGGGGTCCAATCGAAAGACGATTCCGACAGCTTGGCGACTCTGCTGGGGACGGGTAAGTGAGTCAGGTCGAAATTAATTTCCGGTTGTCTTTGTGAGCGAAAATTATAAGTTTAAATTTTAATTTATTTATTCGATTCTTATTATTTATCCTTGATTATTTTTCAAATAAATAGTTGTACTGACATTTTTTCAATGATTTCAGATCTTTAACTTTTTTCATCTAAGGCTCTATAACCGAGCTCCGAACCCGTTCTAAGTGGGGGTGAAAGCGACGCATTCGTGTGAATTTACTCACCGCATATGCCTAGCAAGTAGCCTTCGGGATTCATATACCTTATGTCTTCGTGTCAATTTATTCTCCTCATAGACATAAGGGAATGTGTCATCTTGAGTTTAACTTAGTCCACACAAGCCTGTGACAGGTTTAGGACTAAGGGTCTGGTAAGCCCAAGGGGGCACCGGCAAGGAGAACTCGGGTACCGTTTTTTAGAACCTAACCCGGGAGACTATGGAGAAATAAAGCCTACCCCGAAACCCCATTACAAACCCTAGG